CTTCGTGGTTGGATCCTTCCTTAGTATTTGATAAGTGTTCCGATCGCCTAGGATACTTTCCATTTTCTCCTTGTAATGTTTCCTGTCCATTACAACAGTCGCTCCTACTTTATCCACCTAAAGAACTATTTGATCATTCATATGTAACCTTTTCCGAATACTAGCCAATCTGATGAATTTTATGGGTTCTTGATGTGCCATGATCCATGGGATTATTTCCAGTTCCATCTACCGCCTTGCATCTTCAGGATATTTATCCGCTGTGTTGACAACTTCCACCAGCATATCACTAAGAACGTTTCCTTCATTACCTAATAAAAAATGTAGCCCCTTCCTTGAGAGATATGTAGTTTCAGAATCCAGAGGGATTAAAGATAGGTTTAGTACTATTGTCCTATCGTCGTCTGTAGTAGTTGATGCGCTGTCTTATTATCCCATAGCTAAGCAATATCCTGTCATGCCACTTATTTATCAGATCCTGGACCCTCAGTGTCTTCTGGTCTGTAATGCTCTGGAGTTTTTGAAAATCATCTAAAGTGAGAACCCTACCTTTCTTAATCTAGGCTTGAGATGTATGAGCTTGAATAGCTTACGCCTACCAGTCTTGTAAATTTCCTCTAATTTCTGGATGAAGGCGTGATAAAGTATTTTACTAACTGTGTAAGAATAACACTTCCTCATTAAATTTCAGAAATGGGGAACGATACCATAATGTTTGCAACAATTCAAAAAGGCCAAATGGCAGGATTGACTTACAATTGTCTTCTTTGTCCGGCTCTAATTAGTGCATTGTTTGGCAATCTTACTTCCATAATTTATTTGAAGGTATTAAGACCACACAAAAGGCCACACCATCTTGGTCTTCATACCTTCAACAGAATGTGATGCTAGAAAATGCCTGCCCTTCCTTGAAATTCCCATCTGCTTTGTTATTTAGGGTAAATCGTGGCTATGTGAAGTAATGGCTTACATGCGAAATTATACGCTGCATTGTTATGGTTCGAGACCCGCTGGGGGAGTTATAAAACGCATGCTAGGTCGAAACTGCAGTACAGCCTGGATGAGAATACCTTTTGGGAAGCAAGACTATGTGAAATTCAATGGAAGCATTAGGACTACTCACACCATTGGGGTAAAATTCAACTACCAGTCCCCTTATCACCTCAAACGAAATAGGGTGAATACAAATATCAATGATATACTGATAGTCTTAAGCAGCTACTTATAAACGAATAATATAATGACCCGATAAGACTGATTCTAACTATAAGCAGTATTCAGATAAGGTCCCTAAAAAATATGGCATGATGTACAATCGGAAAATTTATACGCGTCAGTTCAATGAGTTGCGGGTGAGAGGCATGCCATATTATTCGAGTAATAAACGCCTGACTATTTAAGCATAACTGTGAAACGATGCTAATGCCTGCGGATAAATCACTGCCTCGAATCTGGTGAAGAAATTAGACTGAGTACTCATTTTTACCTTGGAGTAATATTGTTAACTAACAGGACCGATATACAAGATTTTAAAAGAATATAAGACAGCCCGCACAAGGCTGTCGCCCAAAATAACTCATTAAAAGCATCAGATTGTGGACGTGAAGATCAAGATGGCAGGGACAACTGGTCGCAGTAATCTTTAGCTTTGTAATTTGGGTTTAGCTTAATTTTTGCGATTTGGTGGAAGCGAGATGAAGACTTTGTGGAATGTGCATTGTCCATTGTCCCCAGGCATAGTATTAGTGATTTTCGGCAGTGGACAATTAACTTAGTACATTCCCAAAATTTTCACTTTCATTTTCAATGAGAGGTGCTGTTGTCAGCACAGAGTTACAATTTATAAGTGACAATTAAAAACAATCCCCTTGATCAATTTTCTGTTCAGCCTTAATGGCATCACTCATCATCTGTATTTATGTTCAACCTTATGGTGCTGTATCTCTTTCCCTCAACCCCACTCTACATGGCTTATGTAACTATTCACACAATTCCGTGCTCCCATTTGCTCCAATGTCGACCGAGTGAGTTTAGTGATGCGTAATATTTACCACCGATACCAGGTGCCGTTTGCAGGGCTCCTGATCTACACTCAATCCCTATGATTATACCTCACTAGTTAATTGGTACCTAAGATAAAAATCACCGTCCGAATATCCGAAATATAGCTGCATAAGTCTTCAATTCCCGTCCCCGAAAACGCCATATTCGAAGATTTAGGGTATATGTGAACGTGCCTATGCCTATGTCCTTGTCAATGCCTGTGAATCTTCCTTCCGCTAGGCTTTAAACCGATTGCCAAAGCGACCATATCAGAGGCCACAGCATCTTGGTCTTCATATCTTTATTTAAAGAGATGGATCAGTTATCCTCTTTCTTATCCACACCTACATTGTATCTCACTCTTTGGGGCCTTGTCTCCAATTTAATTTGTAACTGTTGATGTAAAAACACTGCTTCCATTTTTTCCACTGAATCGCGAAATGCACACTCCTCTCGCCTCTCAAGTTGACATTCTCATCTAATCCTAGGGTACTAGAATGTAGTTCATTGGTGCATTAGTTGCTATCCCACGAGGTTGATTCTAGATTTGACCCCTATCATTGCAAACTTTCTTGACTAATCTGTATCCCTCATGAGCGGTTCCTTGGCTATGTCTCTTCGTGTTGTTGAAAAGTTGTCCCAGGTCCAAGTGTACCCTTTTTTGTCCTCGCTGAATCTCCAATTCTGCTTCAGGCATTACGCGAAATTATTGCTGATTCCTCCCCCTTCTAATCTCCTGTTCTTTGAAATAGAATTTTAACAGCCTCCCTGATCTTCCTTTTCCTGGTGTTTTCCCCATATGAGGCCAATCCTTCCGCTGCATTTCAGTCAATTGTATGGCCGGTAAGGGCGATTTGTTCAGCTATCTCCGAGTTTTCTGTATCCATTTTTCTACATAGTTGCTAGTGTTCTTTGATCCTTGTACCGATTGTACTTCTTGTTTCTACGATATATTTTTGTTCACGGTTCTTGCAGTTTATGCTGTTAAGTCCGGAGCACCCTATTTTGTTGACTCTTCCTGTTATGTGGGCAAGCTAGTGAAGAAGGCTGTCCTTACCTTCAGGTAGACATATCTATAATTTTTCTTCTGCTCCTCTAGCTTTACTTGCAAAATCTCCTTCCTTGCAGCTGTTCATCATCATCTGTATGTTGGGTTTGTATTACTTCTTCTGGATATCTGTTTCCGAGATACATCTGAGTTGGCTTTTACAGTTCCTCTTCCTAGGACTCAAAATCGGTGAGTTATAGGCTTCATACTTCAGAGTATTCCAGTCTTAATTCCATAAGTTAGATTGGGCTGGAAGTTAAGAGTTATTCCAATACGCGATTTCCTTCAGAAAAGTCATTTCTTGATATTTTCCTCGGTTCGAATGACCCCCCCATCCAAGAATGGTAAGTGTCCATTCTCTTACACGTCCATGGTAAATTTGACTTTTTATCCATTTCGCTTATGTGGCTCAGGAAATCTTCTAATTTTTCTTTACATTCGACCTGAAAACACGACACCTGAGAAAGCGAGGTCAAACCACTTCTATCTAAGGTCTCCTTTAGCCTGAAAATTCATGCTGATTGTGAATGGATTAGTATTTGAAACAAGTCACTCATAAATAAATATGATTGATTCTAAATGGGAGGAGATGAAGAATTTGTCAAATGGTAATTTAAATAGACAACGCTTGTCAATAGGTCAAAATTGTCCTTCGACTCATAGCCATATAGGTTTAGACAAACAAAAAGAGTTAACCCTGGGGGTCGAGGATAGTAATACAATTTTTGATGAAATAAAGAGCTTTTGATTCATGTATGGAAAAATAACCTCATATGCTATTATATTTATAAGGATATATTTATATACACGCGTAGAAAAAAAGTACAGAACATACTTATAGCAAGTTCAATAATAATATAGTCGAAGATGCCCAGTATAAGAATATATTCTACTTGATACAATAAAAGATCACAAAGGTTAAGATAATAGCCTCAATTTTACTACCAAGAAGAAAAATAGAGTTGAAGCCCAAAAGTGCCGGGCCGGATGGACATATAACGGGAAGATTAAGAGTAAGCAACCTTGGTCTGTATCATGCTAGTGTAGTAGAATGCATGGCGTAGCTGTATCATTGTGCACGAAATCTGGAATTTAACATCCATTTTATAGTTCTATCCATTTAGTTTAGCCCTTTAATAGCATATCTGAGAGAAAGACGTACCTACTTAAAGACAAAATCTGGCATCATAGGTTAATACAAGCATCTTTGGATAAAAATAAAAGATATATAGGTTGATAACACAGGGAGTTCTACATATGGGCGAGTATTTAATCGAACAGGTGGCGCTATATGAAGTGGCAAGAAAAGGTATGGGTAAGTGAAAAATAATCGATATCTAGGTCAGTTCAGGAAGACATGCAGAGTGAAAAGGAGAAAACTCCTGTTAGAGAGATGACCCTGAAAAAGGGACGAAAATGCTGAGGTCGTTTACATCGATCCCCATGCTGCACAGCCAAGGTTCGGAGGTTCTGTGATGATTCGTATATATAAGGATGCGAATTTGCATTTACTGTGCTACACATAGGTAGTGTGTTAATGGATGAATAGGAGAAAACATTTTGTTGAAATATTATATAATATTAAATAATGGAAAGTAAGGAAAGATAATGAAAAATAAGCTGTTGATTAGTATTCAGGCAATCAAATGAGTAGTAAAATGAGAAAATATTGGTGGGAAGACATTTGTATACCACATTTGACTAGCAGAAAAAAGAAAAATAAGATTTGGGTGGCGCTAAGGGATTCCGAAGGCTGGATTGTCACTGGGGGCTTGTGGAGCTGAATTAGAGGGGCTTTTTGAAAAGATACCAGTAGGGTCATCTGGGCAAGAGGTCTCAGGCAAACCTACAATTGTTGACGCGGCCGTCGCCGCTGCAGCCAAGCTTGAAGCACCGAAGGGAGATAGAAGGCGATCGAGGTGGTGATAGGGTTCAATCCAGTCATCTAACATCTTGTCAACCAGAGGCAATCGACGGTGCAGACGGAGGCGAGCAAGAGGCAATCCACGCCTGGTCGAAACGACGTCGAGCCAATCACGTAGCAGGCAAGATGAAGAGCCGGCCTGAATGAAGTTTTGGGAATGTATAGAAGAGAATAGAGGTAAGCCAAGTGATATCATGAAAGAGCCTCAGAGTCCATTGTGACACTGAACTAGATCGGCTTAAAAAATATTTCTTGAGAATAATTATCACCAAGATTTGATTGAAAATAACATTAGATTAATAAAGAAGACCTTCTTGAATGGTGAATAC